TATATATATATGTATATATGTATGTATATGTATATATATATATATATATGTATATGTATGTATAAATACGTATGTTTATGTGTATATATATGTATATATATTTATATATATGTATATATATGTATATGTATACATACTGTATATATATGTATGTTTTTTCAAGCTCATATTACTAGCCTGAAATACTTATTTTTTCAAATTCATCCTGCTGCACCGTTATATCCTACCCTTCTGTTTGTTTACCATCACTCTTTAGAACCTTGTAAATAATATAATTAACTTTTTCACTTTTTGTTACTTTATTTTTGGACCCTTGTTGCATACTTTTAGTATGTCTTGCTTGTGTGTGCTTTGATTTTTTTTTTTTTTTTTTTTTTTGAGAGTCAAATTGATTCTTCTCATCCTTAACCTTGACATATGACATATAAACACAACTTGAACTTGAACTACCTGGGTTATTGAGCATGAACTTTGATGTTTTAAAGCACTTTGGCCATAACTGCCTCAAACTAGTTGACGGGAGAGAAGCTGGACTCCAGAAAGCATCTTAGCACCATCAAACAGGTTGACCCACTATTCATTCAACCATTATTTATACAGGTTAATCCCATTGAGCTTCAGGGACTCATTTACAAGAGAGACCTGATTCTAACAAAGATTAACAACAGTAAACAAAGACAACAGAAGCTAATCATAAAATGAAGCATGCAAATTAAGAACAAGTGAAAGAAAATTATATTAAAAATGGAACAAAAAAAACAGCTAGGTTGTAAGGTGATGTGAGGTCATAAGGCATATGCGAAGGTGCTTTTAAAACTGAGTTTGTTGTGGCTCCTTGGACTGATGAAGTCTTCTGGATGAAATACGAAACGTTTCAACAAAAGAATCTCCAGCGGACCTGACTTAACTTTGTTGGATTTTTACTTGGATTATTGAGCATGAACTTTGATAAATTTAATTATTTGTTTATAAATTGGTAGTGAGATTTAGAGAATCTCATCACATTAAGCTGCAAAGCTTGCTTATCTTTTCACATGTGGACTGTTTTGTCTCTGTTTATTATTATAATTATGATAATAGTTTTCATTCATCCTTTATTCAGGTTAATCCCATTGAGCCTTGGGGACTGGTTTACAATTATTATTAATATTAATACAGTATATGCATATTAATATTATATATTTATATTATTATTGTTGTTGTTGTTGTTGTTGTTGTTGTTGTTGTTGTTGTTGTTGTTTTGTTATTATTATTACTACTACTTATAGTAATAATAATAATATAGTCTGAATTATCTTGTTTAAGATGTTTTAGAATAATATATGTTCTATTTTGTTCTTAAATTATATAAACGTACATTTACATTTGGATATACAGTAAATTACAAAAAAGGACAAAAAACTACCTAAACATACCACGGGCTTTTGTTTTGAAATCAACATGACGTCACATCCGCCGCCTCCACTTTTTCCACTTTAGACAAAGCTAGCTCTCAGAATAGTAGTTAGCTTAGCTGTACGGTTTTAATCGAGGTCTGCTCCTGAAGATAATCTATGAGTCGCAGAAGGAACCGAGATCTGGCTGAAGCTGGACCGTGTCTGGACCTCCACAGAACCTTCATGGAGTCTCCCGGACCGGTGGGCCAGGTTGACGGCGATTTCCTGGAGCTGGAAGCCGACGAGGAGCTCTTGTGTTCGGTCAGTGACATCACCGAGCACCTGAGCAGAAACATCACCGTGGTTCTGGACACAGCCCTGTCCAAGATCCGGAAGATGGTCAGCATCCGGATCCGAGTCCTGAAAGTGGAATTGCGTGAGAAAACCGAGGAGATTGAGGAGTTGAAAGCCCGGTTAGACAAAGTTCAGAGGGACGGCAGAGACCCGTTCCCCAGCCTAGAACCACCAGAACCGGGCCTCAGAAAACACGACCTTGGTTCTGGGTCCAAACCCAGCACCGATCCTAGGAGACCCAAAGCTGTGGATCCAGGCGTGAAGAAGGAGAACATCGATGCTATTTGTGACTACTTGATGAAAGATAAGAACTCCAGAGGTTCTGCTGACATGGACGGAGAACAGGTGTGTGAACCAGAACCACATCCTTTGAACCTGTGGACGGACGGATCCGGGCCTGGGGACGGAAACGCAGACGACCTGTTCAGTATGATCCCTTCTGGCAGCAAACGGGTCTACGACTACGAATGGATGAACTATCCCTCTGAGCTGAAAGGTAAACAAATGCAAACACAAAATAAACAAACAGGGACAAGTAAACAAAAGTACTGTCAACAAGGAAGAGGGTCTGCAATGGAGGAGGGGGCGTACCAAAGAGACCATCTTATCACCAACAAAACGTTTGTTCCACTTTGGAGTACGCTGTTGGAGGAAGAATCAGTTTTATGTTTCCTTGACTGATGACGCCTTCTGGATTGAAGGTGAAACGTTTCAGCACAAAAAAGAGAATTGTCCAGATGACCTGACTGAAAAATGTTGGATTGTATACCTGGATTATTGAGCATGGACTTTGTTGTTAAACAAAAGTAGACACACAGGTAAACTATTACAAAGACAAGTAAATAAATTCACCAAAACAACAGCAAAGTAAACAAATGGCTCTGATCCATCAGAATGGACCGCAGCAGATTTATCAGGGATTGACTGGTTGGATCATTGTGATCATGACGGCCCTCAGCTGTGGTCGCATCAGGGAGGACGTGAAACGATGGCCCAGTCTTCATGCACATCAGCTTATGTGGCGACCCCTGAAGAAGAGCAGCTGAAAGAACAGCGTCCTGTATTAACACGTTTTCCACTGTTTGCTGTTTGTGTTTTCAGTTCCCCGCAGAAGTCAGAAGAAAACTCAGACGCTCTTCATCTGTTCTGTTGCGCGTCATGTAGAGAGCTGAAGAAACTCTGGTGATGACGGTGGGTTTTTGTTTTTCAGCCCAGGTCCTGAAGGAACCTGAAGCTGAAAACAATCAGACCTGTAAGGCCAAGGAGGATGGACATGAAGACGAGCTGTCCACAGAGGACCAGGCCCAGGGGCTGCTGTCTCACATTCAGTCCTCTGAGTTCTCCGTTGACCTGCACAACTCCCCAGGAGGGGGAGGGAGCCACCTGGAGACCGCTACGGACAAGCCTGAGGGGGGTAAGGATCAGTCTTAAGACCAGAACAAGAAGTGCTGAATGATGTGGCCTCTCGTTAGCTGCATTTCTGCTGACCGGGGAGGATGTTTTTACATCCAGATCCATTTACCGCTAATTAAATCAACTACAGGTGCACCCTCTCCAAAAGAAGTCTTCTTGATCAGTGCTTGTAGACGGTCTAAAGTTTTACTCAACGTGCAAAGTAGAGCCTGACCAATCAATCGGTAGGTCCGATAGTTTAGGCTGATACAGATGTTTGGGGCCTATTGGTATCTGTGATAATGGTCCCATTATTGGCCAATAATTCATTACTAATTTTCACCCCTAAAATGCTGGACCCAGCTGTTATACATAGTTCCCATGTGACGTAACATCAGGGGCATTTCCGGTACGTCCTCCATGTTGGGAGGCTGCCTCTAGCAGCAGCTACAGACACAGTGCAGTTTACCGGTAGTTCATTTTATCCATCCTGATGCATGCTCAATAATCCAGGTAGAAAAATCCAAAAAAGTTAAATCTGGTCCTCTGGACATTCGAAAAAAAAACAAAAAACTAAGCAAAACAACAAAAAAATGTAGAAACGTTTCGTCTCTCATCCGAGAGACTTCCTCAGTCTGAGGTGCTGTATTCAGCTCAGTCTCTTAAATAGCACCTTCTCAGAGTGGATCAAC